ATGATATTATGTTGCAAGAATGCCATTTCAAAAATGCTTCTTCCTGAGAGAATTTTTTTGTTGGTTTTGGATATTAAACTGTATCCCTGCACTCACTGCAGAAGATCTCTTCACTACTTGAGGCATAGTGCAACTTTGGGTGTTATAGAAGGTTATTGGAATTGAGTCACATGTGTTTTACATGTGTTTCCCTGCATTGGATGCCTTTGAACTGCAATCCTCTGACCTCATCCAGTAGAAAAGCTGGCACCTGGATTTCATGAGAATTTTGGAATAATTGATGTGATAAATTTTCTTACTTGAGCCAAGATAAATAACAATCTTCTACTATAATCTAAAATCTTCTACATTGGGATTGAGGCTAAGCCATCTAAGAACTTTACATTTTGCAGATCCTGATGTGCCATAAACAAAATAAAAATATTCATACAAATTTTAGCAATTAGTTTACACAATAGTGCAATCATTAATATTTGTTTTCCCCAGAAGGTATTTCCTTGTTCATACAAGCCGGTATTATTTATCTTTCTTTCTGAAAACGCATTTTATTTTCAGACAGTATTGCACATGAATGAATAATACACTAAAAACATTCCTGTTGTAAGTTAGGCTGATGGTTTAAGCACATTTTATGAGGATTAATCTTTGAAAAAAAGTTCGAACTATGTAGTGAGGATGTAGGTTAGACAGGTGAATTCAGAAGAAGGTCAACATATATGGTGGTTTTGAAAGCAGGTTGTATCTGACGATGTGCATATTTAGACAGCAGTAATTTTCCTAATGAATGATGTAAAACATTATGTGCATTCTTTACAGAAACATTTGAATGTAAATACAATTCTTGTGATTGATTCAACACGAATATTTACTTGAACTCCTGGTGAAGAGAGTCTATGTGTGAACCCCAATATTTTCTATTCATATTGGATTTAGTAGAGACTGTAAAAGTCTCAAGGAATCAATGTAGGAAGGAGCAAACTGTCACAAGGCATGTTATAGTGAAAATTTCTGAAAATAGAGGGGACTATTTCTGCCCTTTCATACAGTAATAAATGTAAATAAGGAAACAAATCCTTGCTTGTAAATTTCTCCATTTTCCAAAAGGGTTCATTGCAGGAAAATAGGAGCCTATGTATCATCAGTAGAGGAACTATCAATGACTATATTTTGTGAGTATGTACAATACTATTGTCCAGGCACAAAACTACCTTACAAGAAACTGAATGTCAGTATATTCATTGAGAATTATTTGCATGTCTCCATTTTAGAGGGAACATAATTTCTCTAACATAAATCAGTTCATGGATGTTTTCCTCAGAAAATTGTGATTGTTGAGGATCGAGTTTGGGACAATGTATCACATAGCTCCCTGTAATTCTGAGTCTAGTATTGCCACAAAGGAAATGGTCCATTAATTCATTTTCCCTTTTGGTAAGGCTGTGTGCACTTTTCGTCCAAATGTTTTATTTAAATTGAAAACTTTCATAAATGCTTGAATGTCAATTACTAGAAAACAAATTCAGTGAGTTTTTACTATTTCTTCAGTAGAAATAATATCTAGTTATATACATAGTTATATCATTACAATATATATCTAGTTACATTCATAGAATTTGCCTAATGATAATGACAATTAAAAATGGTACACTATCATTAGGCAAATTCTATCAATAAAACCAGTCAAAGTCTACTCCATCTGTAAAATGTGCTTAATTCTTTCAGACCTTATGTCTAAATTTATTTCTATTACTTGCACTTAAACAGGTTTTCAATAAAAGTATCTTGTGTATTGTAGCCTACTGGAACATATGGAAGTCAGAGAAAACCCTGCTGGCTAAACAGAAAGAATGCCAATGAGCATCAGGGTGTGTGCTGGCCAATACCAGGAAGAATTCTATGTAGAAACCAAATTTACTGAATTTTAATACAATTGAAATATATTGGAGTTCATTCATGCATAAGAAGAAGTGGGATAATGTCTTAGAATTTGATTCAATTGACAGAAGCACAAGATTTCCTTAGAGTACTAAAATAATGATTCTTACATGAACACTGTCAAATCCCAAGCACACATGATAGACCTTACAAACCTTCATCATTACTTTTGAGAAGCCCTATTATGGGAATCCTTTGTATCTACTTCAGAGAGGTTTCCTGCTTTGCTTTGGTGTTTATGATTAACTTCCTGAGATATCAAGCAGTGCCACACTTCCCTTTCTTTATCTGGACCAAGCTGTCCATGCTTTTTATTTTAATTAGAGATGTTTCCAGATCCTCCATTTAATCACAAATCATGGTCTTTTATTTTTCTCTCCCATGTTGGTTAGTTTCAATTTTCTTTTTTTTTTTTTTTGGTCGGTCATCGGGCTTGAAGTATTTCCTTGGGCGCTGTCCTTGAGCTCCTCAGCTCAAGGCAAGCACTCTACCACTGGAACCACAGTACCACGTCTAGTTTTCTAGTGCTTTATTGAAGATAAGTCTCTCACGGGCTTTCCTGCCCAGGTTTGCCTTGAACCATCATCCTCAGATCTCAGACTCCTGAATAGCTAGGATTAATGTCATGAGCCACCAGTGTCTGTCCTTGTTTCAATTATCTTAAACCATTTTTTATATTTTTCTACCGATAGAAATACTGAAATGTTTCAATTCCTCAGAATCATTAAACAGCTATTCAAGGGGCTGGGAAGGTGGCTCAGTGGTAGTTCACTTGCCTTGCATGCTCGAGGCCCTGTGTTCGATTCCTCAGCACCACATAAGCAAAAAGAAAAAAGCCGGAAGTGGCGCTGTGGCTCAAGTGGTAGAGCGGTAGCCTTGAGCTGAAGAGCTGAGGGACAGCTCCCAGACCCAGAGTTCAGGCCTCACGACCGGACGCAAAAAAAAAAAAAAAAAAAAAAAAAAAAAACAGCTATTCAAAACCGACAAATTTATAGACCAAAAACATCCTGGCCTCATTATTATATCATCAAATTATTTAATTTACACTAGTTTGTTCATATACATACTTATTTTAGGATAGAGCCCCCTTGGGTTTTCTAAGCAATTGGAGTTGAACCACTGGGTTTTCCTGCATTTTGGACTTCAATACAAATCTAGGATTAAAGTTGTAAGCCCCTGGCAACAATTGTCTACTTGTTAATGAAGATCCTTGCCAGTACGATATACAAAATGCTCAAAGTTTCCTTAGGGTATAACAAAAACTCTTTGGCATATTTTTAAATAAAATGACTTGGTGTTTATGAAAAATGATGATACAAATTCTACATAATATGTGACATATATGTTGTACCACCTTTTATATATCAGAAACGCTTCAATACACCTTTCCAAAACCTGGCATAATAACTTCCTATTTTATTAAAATCTAACTGAATTTATGTTGTTCTACAGAAACCTGTCAATAGATTCTTGAGTTCAAATTCTGTAATTGATAGTTATAGTGCAGGAAATTTGCATGTAGTTTATGTTATTGGTGATTAAATAATGCAAAGGCATTCCTAAAGCCATACATTCAAAAGGATTTTTCTATAGCTTTTATAGTTTATTGTATAGTATTTAGTAACATTAATATTTTTGTAAGTGAAATATATGCTATATAAATGAATAAATTCATCTGGGAACTTGTTTTTCTCTTGCTGTTTTCATTTAATATTTGTGACTATTTGCTTTGTGAAATCTGAGAAAACATCAATGTTACTTTAAATTAATTTTAATCAAAAATGTGAACTAAAAGAAATATGTACAAAGATCCATGTTATCTACAAGGAAGGCTAAGGAACGTTTTTGGCAGAAGGTGATTAATTTCTCTGAGTCTTTTTGTGAAACTGTCTCCTAATAAAAATATTGATTTTTAAAGAAACTAAACAAGGAAAGAATAATACATAAAGAATGACTTATTGTGGCTATATAAGCCTTAGTAAGTTTACAGATGTGTGGGCAGGACAATTTACAGAGAACCAGAAGTTGGTGTGAAGATAAAAATTGTGACATATCCGTTCACATTAGTGCTCTACTGAATACTCACACATTTCTATTATACTGAATTGGAGTACAACAATTCATACCAAAAAGAATTGGGGCATTGTCTTTTCCGACTTCCACGACATAGACATGTAAATCATCTTTTTGTATGTGACTGAGACATTTCTCGCTGACATCCCAAATGTATTTCTTATAGTTTTCTCCAACTTGGCAGTATTATTTCATTGGTAAAATAATGAAAATTCTTTAGACTTCCTTAGACTTAAGAAAATATATATTTCCATTTTGGGGTATTTAAAATTTACTTTTATTACTGTTACTTTTATGTGAGTTAATCATAGTGTAATGTCTTCTGGCTCTGCTTCATGGCCACTAGACACTGTACTACTAAAATTTACTACCTATTGAATGACAGCACCCATCTCAAACTTTGACTCTTACTAGTCTCAATTATTCCTTTGCTTTGTGATGCATATATTCTCTAAGAATCAGTTACCTGAATAATACTCCATACTGATCTTATAATCTGAATAGGAATCACGATATATCTATGAAAAAGGAAAATCCTCCTTCAGACAAGTGCCTATTTTCAATAGGTATTAGATGGTTGTAAAATGGAATTTGGAATTTGTTAATTCAGACACCAATAACTTAGAAAACCTTTTCCCCATTCGCTTAAAAGTTGTCATGATGCATTATCCTCTGTTTTTGTATGTTGAAGAAAAATGTATGAAAAATATGAAATTAATTTTGACTTCAAAGGTTATACATTTCTATAGCTTATTATAAGTGACCATAATTTGTGAAGTAAACAGTTATCAATATAATTCAATACAAGTGTGTCTAGCAAAAGAAAGTATTAGAGATGAATAGGTTCTACCCAGTTGTTCTTCATATCAACGGCAAAATCACAACATTTAAGACATGTGGTTTTGGAGTATTTAGTCTTGTTTTCTCTCAGAGAATTGTTTTTTTTTTTTTTTTTATCCGCAGGAATTGCTTATATATATCTGTCTGTCACCATGGAAAAAGGTAAACATGTTTAAGCATTTGTTTTGGAAAATTATTTTAAATGGTCTAGTTCATGCTATATTTTTTTTCTTGTTTGGAATCACAGAAAGTATATTGACAGGAACTGAGAGAACAGGATAGTAGGATTCGTCATGATATGCATGTGAAACTTTAGACATTTTGATAATTATAACTTTGACTTTTGATGTTCTAGATTGAAAGGTGAAAAAGAATATAAATTATGGGCATATTCTAGATTGAAATGTAAGAAAGTAATTAAATCAAGGGCGCTCAATGGATGTTTGCTTTCAGAAGATAAAACATGCTAAGAGCTCCATTTGACTCAAATTAATATTTTTTCAACTAGAATAAATATTTTTCATAATAAAAATTAAGAACTAACTAATAGGAACTGAGAATACATCCGAAGTTAAATTACAGAATAATACTCTTTGTCATATTTTGAATCTATATGCCCCAAATTAGGATTCCTGAGTTAAGGTCTAGTTAATAATGGAAGCAACATTGAAGACTTGTATGTTCCCCAATATATTGTTTTTCCCGAGGTATTTGTTCTCTTTCAGAGGAATCTGTGGATCCTGAGAGGTTGTTGCAGTGTCCCTATGATAAAAATCACAAAATCAGATCATGCAGGTTCCCATACCATCTTGTGAAATGCAAAGAGGTAATGTTTCACTGGAACATGTTGATATTACATAATTTCTTTAGTTCATGGATAAATTGGAGTATTGTTTTTATAGTAAATTGTAGGAAATATATGTGAAAATGTGAGAGAATGTAGGCATAAATACCATAGTGAAATTTTTGTATTTCTTCTGAAATCTCTGCAGCATGTAATGGAATGTAAGACAATCCTAATCCAATTTATTTCTAGAGACATATTTCTAGATCTCTATTCAAAGCAGAACAAAGGCATATGTTTTGTTTCGGTAATTATGTCTAACTCTGTGTGCCATATTTCTTTTTTTCTGTCTTTTTATTGTGAAAATAACATACAGAGAACTTTACATACCTCACAAATATTAGAGGTGGTTTCGTTTTCCTCCCCATTGCCTAATGTACAAAATGTAAATTAAGTTATTCTTAAATTATTTTCTTAAAACAACCGCTGTATTTTATGGTCTAGAATTCAGTTTGAGTACTTGACTTTTCATGCCATGTTTATAAAGATAAAATGGGAGATGCATTGTGTCCATTTTCTAGATTGAAGGTATTTATTACAAACTTGCTCTTATTTTCATCAAAAATTACACAATATTTGAAGGTTCACTGAACTGTGGGTAGAAAATTACTTTTTTTCTTCATGTAGCACTGCTACAATAAGTTTCAGAGCTGTAGGAAATTCATAGTTTCTGCTATTTTGTTTGTAAAGAAGACAGATGTGATGACCCTCCATTTTGGATATTTTCAAATATGTTTTCAATCACCCTATCTATGCATTTGTAAATTTTATATAAATAACCCATATTTGAGTAAACATAGGACAAAATTGAACACTTATGTGCATTTCTAAAGTTCCATATAGAATTTATGGGTGCCTGGCCCTATTTCCTCATTAAAGAAATAATATCAACCTGAGAGTTTGATATCACTGTATCATTTTTTTAATGCCAGCCCATGCAGGAGAGTCATAAACCTTCTTATCTCCCCTCTCAAATGAGAATAGAAGAAGTTCTATGAAAATTGTAGAAGTCTAGCCCTTTGCAAACGGATGCACAATTTTTTTTTTTTTTACCTTCCCCTCCCCAAATTAGATAAATATATACACAGTGCAGTGCACTAGAATCAAATACAATGAAAACAGGGGTTCTACCTTGGGGAGGAACACACCAAAGGGAAAAAAATCAAATAATTCATTAAAAATATGTTAAAAACAATAACAAGAAGGGAAAAGCAACCTTTGTATACCTATCGTATTTGGTTTATCATCTTTTTAAATAAGATTTTAGTGTGAAAATACTTTACAGAGTGGTTACAGTTAAAGGAGTAAGATAATGAGTATTTTTCTTATCAAACATTGATGCCTCCTCCGTTGAGTTTCCACTGCCATCCCTTCCCCCATCTCCAGAATTACATTTACCCCCCTCCTACCCTGCTTAAATGATAAAGTTCATTTCTGACATAGCATATTTTAAATAAAGTTTACTATGAAAATATTGCATAGAGGGGTTAAAATTAACGAGTGCATTTCTTATCCAAAATTGTTTCCTCCTCCTTTATTTTTCTGCTACTATCCCCTCCCTCCCAACTCTTAAACTACATCCCCTCAGTCCCATCTCCACCTCTGCCGAAATTGTAAAGTTTGCATTGCAAAATAACGTCCTGTACATCTGATTGTGGTAATGGGTCAAGTTATATAAACATTTTGTTATTTCTCTAACCCTAATGAAATTAAACCAACATTCAATAGAGTGAACACAGGGATTATACCATGGGGGAGGGACATACAAAACAACAAAAAAAAGCACATGGTCTCTTTTAAATAGGTTAGAAACAATACCAAGGAGGAAAATTAAAAACCTTTGTCCCTAACCTTGGGTCCATTTCGCTTAACATCATCTTATCTGATCTTTGCTGCTTATCGCAGATATATACTAATTATTGCAAATTGAGGAAACTATGGGGCCTATGTTTATTTGGGCCTGGCTTTCTTTACTTAATATTTTTTCCAAGTCTTTCCATTTCCTAACAAATGGCGCAATGTACTTCTTTCTGACCTTCATTCCAACCTCTCAACTATACTCTACCCCTACCTTAACCCTCTTTTTAATTGCAGAGTTCTTTTTTATAAGCCTCTGTACATCACTTTTGAACATTTCTGCTTATCCTAAATGTACACTAGTTTTTTCCAAATAAGGGAAACAATGGACCTATGTTTCTTTGAGCCTGGCTTACTTCAATTAATGTAATTTTTTCTGAGTCTTTCCATTTCCAACAAATTGAGCAATATCATTCTTTCTGATAGAGGCATAGAATTCCATTTTGCATGTATTTACCACATTTCCTTAATCCACTCATCTGCTGGGGGGCTTCTGGGTTGGTTCCATATCTTAGCTATGACAAATAATGGTGGTATTTTTAGTATGGTCTTGTATTCATTTGGGTAAATGAGCAAAAGAGGCATTGTGTGATCATAGAGAAGCTCAATGTGGAGTCTTTTGATGAACCTCCATACTATTTGGGATACAGGTTGACCCATTGTAACAATGAAATATACAAGGCACTATGTTGAAAATGAACTTTACAACTTTAGCTGTGTGGGTGAGGGGTAGAGGAGAGGAGTTGGAGAGATGAGGAGGGAAGAGATCTTAGGGGGAAAAAAAAGGAGGAAGTAACAATGCTCCATAGGAAATGTACTCATTACATTATTCATATAGCTTTAATCCCCCTGTACAGTATCTTTACAATAAAAAATATGTATTAAAAAAAGAATGTACTAGCACAGTACCTATACCATGGTGTCAAGCCTATGGTAGATATCCTGAACAAAATAATCTAAAAAGTGAAAATTTGAAAATGTTTCTTCATATTTGAACTTTTGTTATACAGAATCATCCTGACATTGCTGCCAGATTGGCTACTAGTCCCTTTAATGCTCGTCACCTGGTTCCACGAGACCAACTCACTGAACATATTGCAACTTGTATGGACAAAACTTCCCTTGAAGATGATATAGGTAAGCTTGATAATTAAAATACAATCCAAATCAGTGTAGGCCCTTTGCACTTGCATCCTATTGTGATGCTAGTTTTCTCTTTGTTTGTAGATAACATCATATGGAATGAGAAACAATCCAAGAGTTCTGAAAGTACATGGCAATGTGTGTCCTCTGAGGAAGACTGGGATAAAGAAAAAGCTTGTTGAACTTCCTGCATTTTCCATTATTTACTCTCAACTTACTTTGTACTGTTGTATCATTTCTTCCCTTAGTAGTGAAATTAAAAATTCTTTGTTCAATTTTGATTGTCTTCTATGCTAATATCAGTAACATATATGAAAATATGCATTCTTAACTGATTAAAAACCATGTCAAACATTTAAATGATATGTTGTTGCACATGGGTAAGAATTCATACATTTCAATCTTTATTATCCAGCTAAAAGTTTCTTGGGAGTCTCTTGGGGACAACAACCTTGTTGTTCATCTTTATCAATGTATAATGTTAGAGCCAATCTATTCTAGCACCTCAGTCAAGTATGTAATTCTCCCTTTCGCAGAGTCCTTGGAAGATCCTAGCCCAAGTTTTGTTTGGGGCACAATCAAATCATCGGGCAACAACAGGTAAAGAAAATGGTTTCCTTGTGATGTACTATTGTCTTTTAAAATTCAAAGTAAAGAAATAGGATAAATGAATAAAAAACTTGTTCTTCTATATAACCATATATTTTGCTCACTACAAAGGAAGTTTCGGATTGCTCTCTGAACTGGTGAACCTGTGATAGGTGGCAAAATCAAATACAGTTTCACTAGGACTGATACAAAATGCAATCACCCAAATACTTCAAATCAGATTACGTTATCTGAATATTCTTCTCATTCTCTTATAATAAATTTAAATCAGGGAAGCCATAGATAACAGTATTATGTTGGGCCAATCTTTTTATAACCATTTTCATGTTTTCAGGATTCACCCATCACATCAATCATGATAGTGTAAATGGCAGTATCTTCAATTGGTAAGTGATAAAATTACAGACTTATGGGTGGGTTACTATGCCTTCCTTCTGAAATTCATTAATGAATATTATAGGAATGGCTATCTGATTTAAATTTTCTCCATAAATTGGTATAAGATATTTGAGGGATTCTTGAGATGATTAACAATTTTCACTTTACAAAGATACATATTAATAAAATGTATTTAGAACTATTTTTAACAGCAATACATACATGGATTTCAAATTTCACATTGCTGTTTAAAGTATAAATACACATTAGATATGGTATAGATTGGAAATTCAAAATTAGAGGTGTAACTATAAAAGTTATGCTATCTCAGGGAGTATTTATGAGATTGTTTAAAGAATTTTAATTACTAGAATGAACTTGTCCTTCTAGAGTCACAAAATAGGTTATATTCTTGATTTTATGGAATTTAAACACATTAAGTCTCTCTGACATGGTAAGATGGCAAATAGAGGAAAAAGTGAACAGTAATTGGGTTTTCTTGGAATTCTTCATAAGCATTTATTTAATTTGGAATCATGTCATTTGTCTTGCTTGCCAATATGAGACCTCTTCCTTTTTGTGAGACAATATATTCTAGATGTATTGATAATGTTAAGAATTTTCATCTCTGATCAGTCTAGAAAAAAAAAAAACAACAATGTCTGGGAATGTGGCTCAGTGGTAGAGAGCTTGCCTTGCATGCATGAGGCCTGGTTTTGATTCCCCAGCACCACATAAGCAAAAGGGAAAAAAGCAAGAAGTGGTGCTGTGGCTCAAGTGGTAGAGTGCTAGCCCTCGGCGGAAGAGTTGAGGGACATCGTCCAGGCCCAGAATTCAGGCCCCATGACTGGACCTCCCCCCAAAAAGCATATTCAACATAAGACCAAGGTGAATTTATGTGAGCCTGACCTCACAGTCAGGCCTCATATATTCTTCCTGTGAAGTGATAGTAAGAATACTAATTATTTGTATTCAAATATCTGTTGTATGTCAAACATATAACAATATTAGGTGAAGGATGCATTGGCAGTTTATATAGTGAAAAAAGTGCTGAGTAGGAATAATAGTAATAGATAAATGCACCCTTGCATCTGGTGATAATTTGCTAATTCATAAAGATTATAGCAGAGACTTAAAATCCTGTTTACAAACTGAACAGATCAATTAGTATTTGATCAACCCAATACATTCTTGAGGCAGGCCAGGAGATAATGTTAATTCTAGCATCTCACATGTTTGACCCATAAGGATCTAATTATAGATTAATGAAGGATATTTTGCAGATTCATTTCTGGCAATTAATCCCCTCAAAATTGAATACTATAGAATGTATTCTACTTAAGGAAAACTATGGTTACTCGTAGACAAGTAGTGTGCATAAATGTTGGGAACAGACAAGCTCAAAAATCATCAGCACACTCTGGATAACAGAGAAAAAAAGCCTGGTACAGGTTGCTTAGGGACCTGTCGGAGGCTGAGATCTGAGGATCAGATCTCAGGAATATTTGTCACACTCTCATCACCAATTAACCTCCTCAAAACTGGAAGCGTCTCTGTAGCTCAAGTGGTAGAACAGTAGAGCTCTAAGGAGCTCAGGGACCTTGCCCAAGCCTAAAGTTCAAGCCCAATGACTAGCAAGAACAATAACCACAGATAGGAATGTAATGCAATATTCATCAACAATGCCCCATACTCACTGGTATTTCCAAAAACTCTGAATTTTTTCCTTTGGAGCAAGTTAGATATTATTCATTCCCTCTGTATAATATCATTTATTTACCCTCTGAATTTCAGAGAGTAATGTTTGATTAGACAGTGGTATTTACTTACTTCATTGGTTCGTAGAACACTTAATATGTTCTAATGGGATTACTAATTCTGTTCCCTTATGCTAATATGTCTTGCTTATGGAATCATAATTTTTCTAGCATCTAAAATGTAGATAATACTAAAGAACCTGTAAATTCTTGAATCTGTGAGTGTAAAACACTATGCTACTTGTTTATGTAGCTCTTCAAGATTTATCCAACCCTAGCTTTGCTATTATATATGTGTGTGTGTGTAGCTGTGTGTGTGTGTGTGTGTGTGTGTGTGTGTGTGTGTGTGAGCTGTGTTTGTGATCAGATATATCTGTTACCTGTCCATTTATGGGTGGAAATTTTGTGATGTGTGTTTACAAACTGAAATGGTGTACATTTTTTCCTACTCTGTTTCAATACCCATAAGTAGATGCTGCACACATTATTATGTTTTCTTGGGATTGAAAAGTGAGGGTATTTTTTCTGCTTTCAGTTTTTGATTTTACTTAAATACAGGTTATCATGGATTTTTTCATGTGTCTTTTTTGTCAATGAATATTGAATCTTTGCTTGGTTCATTGATATTCAAGCTTCTTACCCTGGGCTTGATCCAAGTGATATTTTCCAAATGTTGTTATGTCTCTGGCATATAATTCTCATAACCATACATATTTGAGAAAGCAGTGTTAATGTAGGAATGTTACCCTAAGTTAATGGAAATTTTCTATGTTCATTTCAAAGTCCAATATTTCTGAGAGTCCAATATTACTGAGAGGTGACATGCATATGTGTCTTAAAGGTTAACTATTTTTCTGAACTGCTGAATATATTTAGCTGATACAACATCACAATGTACTTATGACTTCACAATAGAATTTGTTTTGTACACAAATAAGAATGGAAAAGCCGTTTATATATTTGAGCCATGGAATATTTCTTGTAATTGTACTGAAGGTATTTGCATGGTATCTCTTCATATTTTATTTGCGTCCATAAAGCATGTATCCATTTTTAGCATATATCTCATAAAACAATCACTCCTTGTGATTTCTTTTTATGCATCCGTTCACAAATATTGAAATGGAGTGTTGGCTTAAGTTCATTGCAATAACATTGTATAGTAAAACCACTCTGGATTTTCTTTTCTGTACAACCACGTGAAGTATTTCTTCCTATTTTCCTGGACGCATGATACATCCATGAATATATTGCAAAGGACCTAGTCAAAAACTGTGTCAAGGCCTGGCTGAGCCTGAATGGGTGATATTAGAGTAAATTTTGAAGAATTGTTAAATAATCGCTGAATTAATAGATTGAGTATGTTCACATTTCAAATGTTCAATGAAGTTACAATGTGTTGATGCAGAGAGTGTCCAAGTGTCATTATTTGTTAGGTTTGTATACAACGATCAAATTTAAATGGGAAGAGAAGTGGAAGTAAGCCTGAAATTTTTTAGAAATAACTGATGATGTGCTCTCATTAGTTTTTGAATATCTCTCAAACTGCTAGTTTAGTTCTTGTTCATATGCAGAATACAGAAATAAATATTCTAGTGTTTACCATAGAAAGTAAAATAATATTTTTGTATTTCTTTGCAGGAATCATTCTATGAACAAGCCATGAGATCAAATTATTTCTCATTGTTTCATCTACATCTTACATTCATTAATATATTGTTGATGCTCACTCAACCAAGTGAATTCGTTTTAATTTCTACTACCTTTTCAAACCCTATTCACATTTACCTTGAATTCAGAGGCAAAGCCGGGTGTTTATGTCCTCATGGAAATCACCATGTCACTATCCACATAGACGTGGCAAGGTTGGAATATAGAAACTTCAATAATCAATTCAAAAATCTACATTTGTTTCCCAATAGAGAACAAATCATACTTCATTATTTATTCTCCTTCAGTTTGCCTGTGAATATCATCTTCCATTTCATATATTGATATAATTGCAGAGCCCAATAAATACATAACAAAACTGTAATGATATTAGACCTCTTATACAAATCTTACACCAATTATATATTCCCATATAGAAAAGCCATTAAAATTTCACAGGGATTTTTCAACCAAATTCTGAAGTATATTTCTTACTATACAAGCTTCTCATCCACCTCAATGATTTCCATGTATAATCTCATCTACACAAGATTCTAGGAGTACTTTCCCAAACATGTGGCAGAAAAAACCAGGTTAATGTATGTATACACAAAATAACATGAAAATCTTATTCTGTTGAGGGGGCAAATTGCAATTTGTGAGGATAGCATGATTGTGTGCTAAAAATGCGATATTTTTAGGGCAAGAGGATTCTAAAATGTTCCAAGAAAGAGTGGACTGTTATCTGTAGAGTATCAAAAGCACTTTGTTGGAAACATCTTCAATGACTATCTTCATATTCAATTTGTGTGTAATTTGCCCCACATATATATGCCCCCACATATTTATAGTTGATTTGGCACTGTAGCCCAAAACATTCCTGATGCAAAAGGGAATAATTTTTGAAGCATATTTTAGGAAGATCCACTTTGTGAAAATGGTTGGTAGGACTCCTATGCTATAAATAGAGTTGAATCTTTTGCATACAGATGAGGAAGTTAAAGAGGTGAGAATGTGGCTCATATTTATTATTGGTGTTGAAATGGGAGACTTTTTGATTATGGGCTTTTTTCTGCACCTAGTGTATAATTGCGAATATTTCTTAGTTTTCTTTCAGAAATTGTGAGCAGGAATGGATTCATCATTAATTTGTGAAGGATAACTTGGAACTTTTAGACCCAGGGAAACCTGAGCCTTTTCCAGTAGGGATATGAAGAGAACAGATTTATCAACACATGTCTGTGTATAGACTGAAAACCAATCTACATACAAATCCGTGTGTAAACTTATGAAATTTAAAATAAATGTATGTATCAATACTCTTCTTTTTCATTAAACTTACGGTCAGTGTTATGTACAGAGTTATTATAAGTATGTATGTGACACAGTGAATAGTTTTCTTGTTACATGTTACCTTATCCCCCATTTTTCTTACACTTTATTCTGCTTCAAAACTCCTGCTGCCCCTGTTGTAAATGCCATTTCCAACATATTGTCTTGTGAGGAATTTTATGGCACTGGTTCACCCATTGTCCTCTATCTCAAATGTTTTTGATTCCTCTTCTTTGCCCAATTCAGATTAAAGTTTACAGTCCACAGGC